CGGTGCCTCTCCAGCCGTGGCCGGCGATTCCTGGGTCGAGGTGAGGGACTCCTCGAACCTCCGTTCTGGTCTTCCCGCGGGGGGTACCTCGGAGGGTCGACGCGTTCCAACGCTCCAATTCTCGCGTTTTGCTGGGCCAGAAGCTGGTTCGTCTGGTTGATGGCCGCGAAGAGGGCGGCCACCGTCGGGTCTGCTCCCGCCGGAATGGGAACGGGTTGGAATGCTGGCGGACCTGGGGGCCGATGGTTGGCCTGGAGGGGTCACTCTGCGGATGAAGGCGAGGCAGTTTGGTCGTCCCTCTCATCGGTTTCCGCCGGACGCGTCATTTCCATCTGCTTGTTTCCGTTGGTGGCAACGTTAAGCGTGAGGTCGTGCGGAGTGTCGTCGCGGTGTGGGCTAGGGGTGTACGCGGGTTGGGTTGGACCGGGTTCGCCTTAACCCGTTACCCAACCCGTTCAACTTTCAATGGGTTGAGTTTATCATCAAACCCGTAATTCTACTTTAAAAACCGACCCGAATCAACCCGGATATTTACGGGTTGGGTAGGGTTGGGTCCACGGGTTGTGTATATAATAATAATTATTTTCAATTTAAAAAATCTATAACACAATTCAATATAATTTTGCATATTTCAAACAATTAAATTATTTACGTAGTGGAGACAAATCCTACATATAAAAAAACAATTTGTGATTGTTCCACTTCCATTTTCTATAAAAAAACAATTTTTAATATAAATTATTATTAAAACAACATTAAACAAAATATATTTAAATTAATAATATGAAACAGAACAGGACTTTGCATCAAAATATATTTTCATCATATGAAACAAAATAGTACTTTGCATCATATGAAACAAAATAGTACATTACATTGAACCTATCATCATATTTTGCATTGATATAAAACTATTGAAGTACATACTGTAAAAATAATATATTGCATTGAAATAAATATATGGTAGAAATATAAAAAGTATAAAACCTTATTCAATATGGAGACGAAACTATGAGAGAGTCAAAGTATAGACTGTGGATTTTCGAAAGCAAGATGGAATTGGAATGTGAGAGAGTAAAATGAAAAAAAAAATCGTGAGAGAAAGAGGAGTGGTGACGTTTGAGATTTGCTGTAGTAAAAAAATAGGGTTAGGTTAAGTGGTATTGTCTTTAGTTTAGTAAGTTTCTAATATATACTTAATTATTATTAGTTAATAAAGATTCATTAAAAAAATAAAAAGGCAGTAAAGTGTAAACTAGAAGTGCATAAGTCAAGCAAGCATGATTAATATTAATAATAATGTTTAATTATAATAATAATAATAATAATAATAATAATTTAATGTGTGATTGGAAACTGGAAGGAAAGTGCAAAAGATCTTTGTGTACGTTACAATTTACAAAGTTATAGCAACTTTAAAATTTATAAATAATAATATAATAATAATAATAATAATTAATTATGTCACGTCAACGGGTTGGGTCAACGGGTTCATGGGTTTAGAAACTAAAACCCAATACCCGAACCAAATCTATACGGGTTGTTACGGGTTGGGTCGGGTATACCCGTAAATGAATGGGTCCGGGTAATTAGTGAGTTGGTTCGGTTTGGGTTGGGTCCGGGTAATTAGTGAGTTGGTTCGGTTTGGGTAGGCGGGTTTGCGGGTCGACCCGCACCCATGAACACCCCTAGTGTGGGCTAGCCATGATCGTGGAGTGTTGGTGAAACTTTGGTTTTCTGCTCGGAGTAACGGAGAAGTTTCCGTTCCCACAGACGGCGCCACTGATCTGACCTGATCAGGAGGGGATCACGGGCTGACCACACTCTATTAGACTGCTACGTGCTCACCGATGCTGAGGGGAAAGAAGGGGGGTATACCTGCAAAACACTCTGATGCCAAAGTAAGGAATTGGGCAGAGCGAGAGCAAAGTATAGAATTTGGGCAAGAAGTGAATTATCTGACCCTCTTGAGGAAGAGGGTATTTATAGAGAGACCCCAGCGCTGGGCCAACGGTCATTTGAGATGGGCTGGATGACCAGGCCCAACCCTAATGACTGCTAGGGCTTATGTGGCATAGTGAAGACCAGGACGTGGTCTTCGCCCTAGTCCAACTGCTCCTAGATCTCCGGAAAGTGGGTTTGACCTGCTCTTTCGGAGGTGGGCAGTTGGTTGATGACGTGTCCCCGCGGAGGGGAGGCACGTGGAGAACGTGCGCCGGGCACGTTGTTCTCCCCGCGGAGGGGAGCTCGGGAGGTTCCCCGGAGCGCGTTGTTCTCCCCGCGGAGGGGAGATCGCGAGGTTGGGGAGGAGCCAAGGCTGCGCTTTGATGCGCCGGGGCGTGTTCTATTCGGCTGGTAAGAGGGGACGACGAGATGCTGTTGGACGCGCTGCTTGTGTCCGGTGGCGTGATCTGCTCGTCCTGCGGGACGCGCGTGCCCGGCGTGCCCGATTCGCTCATTGGGCCGTACGTGGTATTGGGCCTGCCGAGGTCAGGCCCAGACCGGATCAATTAGTATAAATTTTGTGAGTTTATTTGTTTAAGATAACTCATGAAAATAACTTATAACATTGTTTATAAGATGTTTTCATCTTATTTTATAAGTTATTCAAACTAACCAATTTTTATTTATGTATTTTAATTTAAAGGATAAAATATAATATAATAATAATAAAATTATTCATATTTATTTAAATAAGACAGTCTATTAAGATTTAAAAAAATTTTATGATCTGAGGTTTGATCTTTTTAATTAAATAGACTTATAAAAAATATTTAAACAAAAAATTTAGTCTAGTCTGAATCTGTGTAGGTTAGATCCGTAAATTCTTGTTATCAGTCTGATCTATTTCTATTTATTTATCACTTTAAAACACAATAATTCAAAAAATTTACTATTCATTGAAAAATATAGGTAACTTTTTATTTATAAATATTTTTTAATTAAAACACTTATGCTTTCATATTCCATGAGTCATCACCTCCTATTTCTCTAATTAAAAGGCATATATATCAATTGATTTGTTTCTTTTGTTTTTCCATTCATATATAAAGTTATATATTTGTGCAAACTGTACATTCACAATATAATGCATTGAGGAGCATTAATTATGATTTAAGGTTGATAGTCATAAATGACTACATCATCTATATATATGATTCGAACATATTTTTTTCTCTTAAAATTTTACTCTCACTTTTTATCATCTTTATCTTTTGGTCTCAATTATAACTTTTGTTATAATAAAAAAAAATCTATATTTTATAATATTACTTCAGCTATTTAATTTAACATTCACAAAGATCAATTTTGTTACAAGACTAAAGTGAACCTTGCTGATTCTTCTGTTTGAGGAGCATTTGTGCACCCATTGGCTTGCTATATATGACAATAGGTTCATAAAAAGTTTCTTCAATCAATACTCAAGAGGTGAAAACTATGAAAAGTTTTGTTATGCGACTAGTACTATTTTTAGGTAAACTTGAAAGCTACTCTTGTAAACACAAGTAGGTTGTGCTATAAATTTTTCCAAGAAAAACTTACAAAAGAAAAGATTCAGAACTGAAAGTAACTTGAAGATATATAAATAAATTGATACAAAACTAACATAATGAAAACAAGTTGTGCACAAGATGGATTGTGTGCAAACTCCATAACAGAAGTATATCATCAGCACACAATTCAGGACCTCTCCCTTCATCCCCATTCTCCCCTCTCCTTCCCAAGATGAACAGAACAACTCATGAGTACCACCAAGAAATTTAAGAACACCAAGCTACTGTTGTTTCTTGAGAGGTTGGGAAGATTGTTGAGCATCTCCTGTAGACTGGTTGATACTAGCTTTGGCCTCGGCGAGAAATTTAGGATCAGGCTCATGTTTATCTGCAGGTTCTCTCATTGCCAAATATATGTAAAATGCAATGACTATGTTAACAGATATGACGGCGAGAAATCCGCTCACTAGTGTCATAGAGTAAGGGGACAAATTGGATATTCCTGTTGCAGAAAAGGAAACACGTTAAGGTAGTTTCAAAACTTCAATTCTTTTTTATGATCAGCTGTATTCCGGGAATGATGAGATCTGTTACGCCCAGACAGATAGGAAAAGCACTCAATAAACAAGACAGAGAAACTCAGAATTTCAATATCATTTGAAAAAAAATTCTTAGTCAGTCAGTGTTAAGGAAGCAATAACATTTTTTCACCCAGTTTTTGACGATAAAAAATAGTACTAGTAAGTGTTAAGAGTCCCATGATTATCTTAAGAATTGTGGTCGAGCCTAACTCAACCTTACAAAACCAACTTGTAAGGAGGGATTGCCCTGTAGGATCAAGCGCTTACCACTGGGCTAAAAACAATTGTTGTTAGTGATGGCGCAACTTTATTTCCTTATAGTATAGAGTCCTCAAGGGGCTGCGCCTATTAAGTGCCATGGGCTGGGATGTTAAGCCCATCAAATCCCTAAGGGTGACGCTGGATTAATAAATCCAACATGCCCCCACTTATAAACAGATGTTGAGATTATATGTTATCCGATGAGACAGATACCATCTCTTCAACAAGGAAACAGAAAAACAATCAACAATGTTTTGATATACTACAAGTTAACTTAACATATATTTTTCCACTTAAAGTTAGGGGTGTTCAAAATATGAAGTTAACAGCGATAAAATATCAAACACACAATTAAGAATACAAGTCAACGCCCACTTTAGGACACACAAACCCCACAAAAAACATAATTGCTCACAAATCTTACCGGGAAGTAGATTATGGTTGAAAGCATATAATATTGCAATAGGGACTGACCACATGAACAGTGATGCAATGAAAAACTTCTGAACTACAGTCATGTTTATCCGAAACCCTGAAAACAAATAGATAAATAAATAACACAGAAAGTCGGAAATCTCAATTACTGCTATAACAGAGTATGCCAAGTCAGCGTTATTATGTTGAGTTATTTAGATTACAGTTAGTTCAGTTTAGCTTGAGCCTCTTAAGGCCTAATCCCTATATAAGTACGAAACATACTCCCTGTTAATGATGGTTTATCTTTTGCCAGGCATATTTTTTTCAAATGTCCCTTAGGGGGTACCTCTCTTGATATTCTGATGTGAATAGAAATGGCACTTGTACACGACATTGTTTTGGGCGATGTTGCCAAACTTCTTTTGCCTGTGTCTGACCTATGATCTATTCTTCTCAATTCGTACAGTTGAATTAAAGCCGGGATGAAGAACAGTTTCACACCTGCAGAGAAATCAAACAATGATTAATATGTTTTATGAATCATAGGAAAACTCCAAATATCAAATGCTTAAAGAGAACCTAAGAATAATATATGATTTAATATTCAAACAAATAAAAAAATGTTAGTAATAGAATTAAGACATTTTAAAGCTACTGGAATTGTCCATGATTATCAAACTGAGACTTATACCATAAATCAAAAGATGTATTTTCCAAATAGAAATGAATTACAATAAGATCCATGACACATAAAAACCTAATAAAACCACCTAGTAGGCTACATGAACTACTGTGTCATAAATAAATTCTACTGATAAACATTTCAATCAAAATATCTGTTAATGGTTTGATCTATAACTTTCCTTGGTATCCATTTGACTGTAACTATTGGTGCTTCTACCGCTGCATGCAAAAACCACCTAAAAGTAAAACAACACTAATCATATTTCTACCATGAAAGCTATATCCCAACCATATTTCTACAATGAAAGCTACATCCCAACTTTCTCACTAATGATTTCATATCTAATTATATCTTTGTACACACTAATCCTTGCATGTGTAGTACATAAGCTGAAACTGCTTTTATCAGGTCATGTGTCTGCATTCTAATTCTATATTAGATAAGATTCATGATGAGGAGTACAGATGATCCATAAAAATATGACATTTTGAAGTAAAAATATGTAACATGTGCAAAAACATAAGTTAATATATCTTATACAATTTACAAACCTATGATTTGAAGTCATGAATAAAACATAACAAGAAAAGTGGTTGACTACACATAAGTGACAAAAAAAGAGACTGGCCAGTGGATACATAAAGTTCGTTTGTGAGCAAGTTGCTATTCATCAAAATGAATCCTGATTCGTGCAGTGTTATCAAATTGCGGCGCCATGGCAGTTTTTGGGCTCGACGCAGTGGTAAAAATATTGGCCGCTATTGCAGGTTTTTCTGCAATAACGGCGCCGCAAAGCAGCCAATATAGCGGGATTTTGGCTCACCTCCATGGACCGCCATCCGCCATCGACAACACTGGATTCATGATGAGACTCATGTCTAAAATAGATATGCATGGAGAGCGTCATATCAATAAGGTTCAGTTATGTTTAGAATTAGATACAACTTCGTGCTTCCCGACGAGATGCATGTGTAGAATAGACACGCACAGAGAGAGTCATATCAATAAAGTTCAGTGTTGCTCTGAATTAGATTCAACTCGCAAGTTTAAGATGCAGATAACCATTGTCTTATATACAAGCTTTGGTTCAATCAAATTATTGCACTCTTAACAATTTTCAACAATACAAGCTTCAAGATTCACTTCAACTGAATTCAACTTTTTTTCCAAATCAAGATACAACTCACATGTATATCATAAGATACCAATAATCAAGGATATCACATGTATCAAATCACATAGTTAACAAATGAATCAAAAGTATGCCATATGAATGCTAACTCTAACACTTCAAACCAAATGATAAGTAGACACATCACCATACAAAGCATGGACACCGAAAACACGACATGAACACTGATACATTGACGAAACAGATAATAATATAAAAAATGAATAAGTTATCCCTAATCACTAATCACAAGTGTCTGTCTCTGTTTCTGAGGCGTTTTGGCAATATCTAACTAAACATAGAGAGAAAGAAAAAAAGAAGAAAAAAAGAGCAAACCTTTGGCAGGTGAGAAGAGAAGGATCAGGAGGTACACCGGCAGCCTCGGAAACGGTGGCCAAATGCTGACCATAGAAGGCACTCAAAGACGGTATGTGAGGGTCGGTAGTGGCCCACACCGCAAGCGTTTTCAAAAGATCGATTCTCAGGTGTGACTTTGTGTTAACGATTGGCTTCGTTTTCAATTTTCCAGTGGGCTTCTTCTCTCAGTGTAATAGGATTGTGAGATTTTGACTCCGATTTTGGGAGATTCTTCTTTTATCAAAACTATCGAATGACGACTAATATGGTGAAAAGAAATTAATTAATTAAAATGCTAGCAAGCTTACCGGATCCACGGTTATGTGCGTCACTTCCGGCGGTGTTTCGAGCAAGTTGACTGGATTTGTATGACGCCGGCGGCGCTGCGATCACGGCGATGGGGGCTTTGAAGAAGTGAGAGTCGCAGAGAGAAGTTTATTTTTTCCCAAAATTTTTGTCCCAAATTCAATTTTTTTTTGAGACTCTAATTAGTTAGTGTAATTTTAAAAAAATTTATATAACATGACAAATAATATATTTTTATTGGACAATATATTTTTATTGCACAACAGTTTGGATCTTATTTTTTAAGTATTATTATTATTATTATTATTATCATCATTATTATTATTATTATTAATGAGAAACGTGTCCTTTATAAAATTATTGACAAATATTAAAATTAACTAAATGACTATTTTTTCCATAAAATGTAATAATCACTAAAAATTAAAATATACAAGAGGGTCAAATAGTTTTACTATTTAATACAATAATATTTTAAAACCTTGTGGTTAATTTGACAGCTGTGATCAGGATCGTAACACCTGTACTAATAGAAATTGCGAAAGACCTTATTTTAAAACCTTGCAGATCCTAACCATTGCGATACTTGTAGATAACTGAAATAACGAGATATTTTTCTAAATTCATATATAAATAACGGTTAACAACTGTTTCAAGCACTGGGATAGTATCATGAGATTCATATATAAATAACGGTTAACAACTGTTTCAAGCACTGGGATAGTATCATGAGCTTTCAGTAGCGTAATTTGAAACCTCAATAAGAGATTATGAATAAATTGGGAAAAATAGCAAGCTCACCGGATCCACGGTTATGTGCGTCACTTCCGGCGGCACACAAACAACATATTTTTTGGAGCTTAGAGATAGAGCAACCTCAGCACAGAAAAAAGCATAACGAGTTCAAAACTGACGGGCCGATTAACAAATCACAGTTCAAAATTGCTAGAGTGAAGGAAGGTGTGTGGGAATGTGTTCTCCTCTTTGTGGACTAGGATTTAACTCAGTAGAGTTAAGTTTCAGCTCATCAACGTCTGACTAATTCACCTAGTTGGCCTGTTGGATTCGTAGCAAACTTGCCACGATGGGATTGTTCATTCTTTTCGGTTTGTGACTTTGTTTATGTTGAGATATGTGAACTATATGAATCTGCCCAAGTTTACACAAACTAATTTATAATCAAGTTAACTTGATTTTTTTTAATAAAACTTAGTGCCTAAAAACCATATATCATATAGCAGTACAAATCTTCCTCATAAAGTTGATTATTGAAAAAGAAAAACCAAACTGAAAAACCATTACATAAACATACTAGGGCATATGAATATAAAATTGTTCATATTCATAAAGATGAATGTAATAAATATAACTATGCATTGCATCAACCCCTGATGCAAAATGCAAAGTTAAGAAAGGAAAGATTTAACTAAAATATGGGATTGTTAAATTAGTGACTTCACTGTTATCACGCTCTTTGCTCTTAGCAATTTCTTTTAAACTGGTCCATGATTTTTTCCGTCTTTTGCTCGCAGTGCTCTGAGTATTTACTCTTGCAGACATGCTTGGAGTTTCAATCGTGTTCTTGGACGCGGAATTGTTTCTACTTCTCTTCTTTGCTTCTAACAATGTTGGTGTACTTGTACTAAACGGAGTTTCCAGACCCTTCCCAGGGGTGACGTCCTTAACTACAACTTCTGAACCAACAGTGTGTATTTCACCGCCTTCATCTTTGCTTACCATGTGTTTCTCTAATTTTAAAGATTTGTGTACAATTGGCTTTGCAGTGGGCATTGATTCTAATGATGGTTTATCTTTTGCCGGGCATATTTTTTTCAAATGTCCCTTAGGGGTACCTCTCTTGATATTCTGATGTGAACAGAAATGGCACTTGTACACGACATTGTTTTGGGCGATGTTGCCAAACTTCTTTTGCCTGTGTCTGACCTTTGATCTATTCTTCTCAATTCGTACAGTTGAATTAAAGCCGGGATGAAGAACAGTTTCGCACCTGCAGAGAAATCAAACAATGATTAACATGTTTTATGAATCATAGGAAAACTCCAAATATCAAATGCTTAAGGAGAATCTAAGAATAATATATGATTTAATATTCAAACAAATAAAAAAAATGTTAGTAATAGAATTAAGACATTTTAAAGCTACTGGAATTGTCCATGATTATCAAATTGAGATTTATACCGTAAATCAAAAGATGTATTTTCCAAATTGAAATGAATTACAATAAGATCCATGATACATAAAAACCTAATAAAACCACCTAGTAGGCCACACGAACTACTGTGTCATAAATAAATTCTACTGATTAACATTTCAATCAAAATATCTGTTAATGGTTTGATCTATAACTTTCCTTGGTATCCATTTGACTGTAACTATTGGTGCTTCTACCGCTGCATGCAAAAACCACCTAAAAGTAAAACAACACTAATCATATTTCTACCATGAAAGCTATATCCCAACCATATTTCTACCATGAGAGCTATATCCCAACTTTCTCACTAATGATTTCATATCTAATTATATCTTTGTTCACACTAATCCTTGCATGAGTAGTACATAAGCTGAAACTGCTTTTATCAGGTTCATGTGTCTGCATTCTAATTCTATATTAGATAAGATTCATGATGAGGAGTACAGGCGATCCATAAAAATATGACATTTTGAAGTAAAAATATGTAACATGTGCAAAAACATAAGTTAATATATCTTATACAATTTACAAACCTATGATTTGAAGTCATGAATAAAACATAAGAAAAGTGGTTGACTACAAATAAGTGACAAAAAAAGAGACTGGCCAGTGGATACATAAAGTTCGTCTGTGAGCAAGTTGCTATTCATTAAAATGAATCCTGATTCGTGCAGTGTTATCAAATTGCAGCGCCATGGCGGTTTTTGGGCTCGACGCAGTGGTAAATATTGGCCGCTATTGCAGGTTTTTCTGCAATAACAGCGCCGCAAAGCGGCCAATATAGCGGGATTTTGGCTCTCCTCCATGGACCGCCATCTGCCATCGACAACACTGGATATGCATGGAGAGCATCATATCAATAAGGTTCAGTTATGTTTAGAATTAGATACAACTTCGTGCTTCCCAACGAGAATCATGTGTAGAATAGACATGCACAAAGAGAGTCATATCAATAAAGTTCAGTGTTGCTCTGAATTAGATTTCACCCGCAAGTATCTTAAGATGCAGATAACAATTGTCTTATATACAAGCTTTGGTTCAATCAAATTATTGCACTCTTAACAATTAATTCAACAATACAAGCTTCAAGATTCACATCAACTGAATTCAACTTTTTTTCCAAATCAAGATACAACTCACATGTATATCATAAGATACCAATAATCAAGGATATCACATGTATCAAATTACATAGTTAACAAATGAATCAAAAGTATGCCATATGAATGCTAACTCTACACTTCAACCAAATGATAAGTAGACACATCACGATACAAAGCATGGACACCAAAAACACGACATGAACACTGATACATTGACGAAACAGATAATAATATAAAATAAAAAATGAATAAGTTATACCTAATCACTAATCACAAGTTTCTGAGGCATTTTGGCAATATTTAACTAAACATATATATATATATATATATATATATATATATATATATATAGTATATATATATGTATATATATATATATATATAGAGAGAGAGAGAGAGAGAGAGAGAGAGAGAGAGAGAGAGAGAGAGAGAGAGAGAGAGAGAGAGAGAGAGAGAGTGAGAGAGAGAGAGAGAGAGAGAGAGAGAGAGAGAGAGAGAGAGAGAGAGAGAGAGAGAGAGAGAGAGAGAGAGAGAGAGAGAGAGAGAGAGAGAGAGAGAGAGAGAGAGAGAGAGAGAGAGAGAGAGAGAGAGAGAGAGAGAGAGAGAGAGAGAGAGAGAGAGAGAGAGAGAGAGAGAGAGGAGAGAGAGAGAGAGAGAGAGAGAGAGAGAGAGAGAGAGAGAGAGAGAGAGAGAGAGAGAGAGAGAGAGAGAGAGAGAGAAGAGAGAGAGAGAGAGAGAGAGCAAACCTTTGGCAGGTGAGTTAGAGAAGGATCAGGAGGTACACCGGCGGCCTCTGAAACGGTGGCCAAATGCTGACCATAGAAGGCACTCAAAGACGGTATGTGAGGGTCGGTAGTAGCCCGCACCGCAAGCTTTTTCAAATGATCGATTCTCAGATGTGACTTTGTGTTAACGATTGGCTTCGTTTTCAATTTTCCAGTGGCTTCTTCTCTCAGTGTAATAGGATTGTGAGATTTTGACTCCGATTTTGGGAGATTCTTCGCTCCTCCTTTCTTCCCATGGATAAATCAATCAATCAATCTATTCAAATCGAATTGAAGTTAGGGTTTAGTGATCGGAGTTTGTGATGTTGAAGAAGGCGACGGAGGATTACGGAGACGACTACGAGAAGCGGCGGCGATGTCGGAGGTTTTGCTAAAACCCTTTTTTTATTAAAACTATCGAATGACTAATACGGTGAAAGAAAATTATTTATTTATTTATTTAGAAATTAATTAAAATACACTTGCTGTAAAGGAACTTTAATTCACGTAAATGTTTTATGTTAAAAGAGATTTACTTTTATTTTAATCATTTATAAAATAATATTAAATAAATGATAGTGTCAAATTAATAGTATAAAAAATTTTATACTAAGTGTTTATAATAATTAGTTTTTTTTAATTATTTATTGATTTTTAATATTTTAACTATTTTTTAATATTAAGAATAAATATTTACAGCAAATTTAATTTTTTAAATTTATTAAATTATTAAATATTTATTTATATATTGTTCAAATACAGTATATAATAAATAAATTTAAAATGTCAAAATCATCAACTAACAACACTTCAAAAATCAATTGACCAATATTACCTCAATACCCTTTTCTTTGAAATTTTTTACACTACAAGTTGGACAAATCGATAAACAACTACTTGTCAATATTCTTCTCTTTGCAACCCCCTCACCTTTTGCCATCTGTCAAGCTTTCTCCCTCAAAATTCCCCCCATTTCAACATATTCTAAATCACATTCTTGCTTCTGTCTCTCTCATTTGAATCTCTCTTCTCCTCTCTCTTTCCTCCCATTTTCCTTTCAAACCCTAACATCTCCGCCCCCCTTTCTCCGCCATATCCACGGCTACCACCATCTTCGCCCCCTTTCTTACTTTTTTTTATGCAAAGACCGATTTTATCTGTTCGGGTCATTTATGCAACACCATATATTAATCTTTCTATTTTTATCTTTCTTGTTTTTAGATATTTTAATTTTCTGATGCAATCTTTTTGTTTTTGTTTACAAGTATAGAAAGAAGAAAAAAGCTGAAGGGTGATGAATGAAGAGGGTTTAACATATGGTGTTGTTTTATTTACTGTTATTGTTTCTATTATTTGTTGTTGTCTATTTTGATGACTTTGTGGTTTTTCTTTTTGTTATCATTAGTGATAGTTCATGTGTGTTACTATTAGGGATATTATTGAATTGATATGTGGTGTTTGTGAACACTACTCATGAGAATGACTTAAGATATATGAGCAGTTTCAATGAATGGAAATATTATCATGACTTTGATAAAATTGTTTGCAGGAAGGACTCTTACTTTTTTCTTTTTCTTACATTAGCATCATTCTGGATTATTCTCACCAAACAAGTATTTTGGAGCAACAACATAGAAAGCAAAGTAAGCTCTCATCAATTATATGTTATGTTCTGTTTAAGAATGTTATTGTTCCTCAGTCTCAACTTTTCTTCTTCATTTCATGACTCAACCTTTTGAGAAGATCAGCGATATCAACAAGTTGTTGAGAAGCTACATGTGTTAGTTACACCGTAACGACATCGTTTTGAGTTTTGTTTTGTTTGTGTTTTATGGTTTTAGATCTATAGTTTGATTATGTGAATCTAAGTTTTTGCTCTTACTTACAGCAAGTATGTATGAGATTTGAAGCTGAAAACCTTGAAGAACCCAACAGTGGTCTTCTTATGACTAATGATATTGCGGGTGTCAACCGTGAAGAAGCAGTCTCTTGCATTGCACTCTCAAAAAATGACTCATATGTAATGTCTGTCTGTGGAGGAAAAGTTTCACTGTTTAACATGATGACATTCAAGGTGTGTATCCGGATATACGGCCCGATATTCAATTAAGCAACAAGTTTATTGGCTACTGATAGTCTTTCTTTTTTTAGGTAATGACAACATTCATGTCACCACCTCCTGCTCTACCTTCCTAGCATTCCAGCCCCAAGATAACAACATTATATCCTGGGATGGAGGATTCCACCCCTTTTCTTTACTCTATCAATACTACCACCACCTCCAATGAAAAAATCAAAGGTCATATATTGTATTCTTCATCTAACGACCTTTCTAATAAATTCGTTGTGAATTTTGTTTCAAACAACTTCTTCGTTGACAACCATTTCTCCATCTCCATGTTACTGCATCATTTATAAGGTTTGTGTTTTTTTAGTTCATTCTTTTATGTCTATCAAACCTTATTTATGAGCTTCTTCAATCTAATGAAATGTATGTTGATTTTTCATTTTTATTTTTCCTACATTCATTTTTTTAAAATTACTTAAGCTCTATATTATTAAGGCATTCGTCAAGGTGTATGGAAGGACCAAGAAACAGATTGAGAAACAATACAAGGTCTTTGGTTGTTTCAGTTTTTAGATTAGTGTGTTTGTTATCTTATTTAATATGTTAATGGTTTATTTTGATTGTTTACAGGAAGAAGGTGACTTGGGCTTATTTGCGAAAGCTAACTGATGGTTATTGTCTATGATTATTGCAGAAATAGGATATTAGAAAGTAGATGTTAGATTTTGTTGTTTAAATCTGTTACTTTGTGTTTGTGTTAAATGTTAAGTTTATAGTAAAATTTTACTATTGATTTTCTTAGTTACAAATATTTACAGGTTGCAATTTTGTCGTACAAATAATTTGGCGGGTTTACTTCACTATGTCAAATAATTTGGTGAGCAAAGACAATTATCTGCAGTAGGCTAAACTTCAATGAACTCTGAAAGACATTCTAAACCACCTACTAAAATTCAATTTCTTTATAAGAGGTGAGTTAATTTTAGTGAAGTAGTGTAAATGGAGATATGTGTTTTGGTTTAAAACCTTTAGGGGTGCATCAACTCAACAAATATGAGACTAGTAGTTGTTGTTGAGAGGTGTCAATGCATTATGATGATCTCAA